GTCGCAGTGACTCGGGCTGCCGGAAGATTTCCCATTATCTGAGACGGAATCGCGGCGCGGTCACGAATACATGCAACGCAGTTATGGATGACAAACTTTATGAGGTTGCGAGCGCGAATGATCCAAAAATCGCGTCGCAAAATATTCAGGGTGAGCTGAGGTCCGGCGTGCAACGCCCGCAAGTGAGCCTGATGCACGATGAGTGTAACGAGTGGATGATGCGACAGAAGTACCGGGTGGCGAGTAGAGAAAGGAAGAGGCGCTTGGCTGAGCCGCCCGCCGACGCGCAGAACTCCGTCTTTATCCAGAAATGGATGAAGAGGAAGAAGCGAGCTTCTCGAACTGAGGGGCTTCTTGGTCGCGAGCGAATTGATTTCTTTGGGAAATAACTCCGCTTGAATTCGTTTGAGCCACAGGAATTTAGCAGTGTTGCAATAATAGGCGGAAATCACCGTACTTTGCGAGGAGCTGTTATCATACGATGGACTGGAGGACAATGATGAGCGAGGCGTACGACAAGATTGAGACTGACGACAGAGGCTTAAAAATTTGAGAACGTATGCGGTAACGCGGTGCGACGGCGATTAGCCCGGGCTCGTCTCCTCCGGGCTCGCACGCCTCAATCCTGGTATCGTCCCTAGGCGGTCGAAGGCTCTTTGGCGAGCGCGTTCTAAAGGTTGGGCGCCAGGCACGGGGATTCGTGCCACTCTTAATTCGCGAAGAAGTATCGCGCTCCCGAATCAACTTCGCTCTTCGCCGCCTCTTTCCCGGTAGGCTCGATATCTCAGTCGCGGGTCGCGTGGGGATTCGGGGTCGGTAGAGGAGGCTCAATCAATTTGACATTTATTTGCTCGATCTCATTTTATTCCACGGGCTCGATTACGGCTGGGCAATGGCCCGGACATTGAGGTACGCGAGATAGCGGCGCGGGACCGTGCTCGAGCCGTACCCGATTGAATACGCGCACTCTAAAGATGATCTCTCGATCCTAGAGCTTCCGAGAGCCCTTCCGACTCGATACGCGGTAATATAAAAGGGAGACGGTCTCGATGACTCGACATAACATCTTCGGCAAGTTAGACGCGACAATCACGATTCCGATTACGCTTACGATTACGGTTACGATTATTACAATCACGGTCACGAGAGTACGGCGGAGAGAGCGCACCCGGAGCCCTGCTCGGGTGATCTCCCTCCCCGATGGCCTGTGGCGGGCCGGACTAGCTAAATTGCCTCCGCGAGAACTTCTATGGAATGCCGAGGTAGACAGCCGCTCGCTCAAGCCGAACTCTATAGACTTTTCTACGCGACGGGCTTACGACGCCCCGCGATCTACCCGCGTACGAGCGTCTGTCTCCTCGGATACACGAGGTACGAGGGCCTGGCCTGAGTGGTGGTCTCCGATTCCCTTGCTGGCCGGATCGCGCTGGCCGCAGGTCGCTGCTCGGGTCCGGGACTCGTCGCTCGGGGCCTCTCCTGGGATCGTACCGCTCCGGGTTCCGGCTCTCACCACAGTCCCCAGTCCTCCGAAACTCCGGATCCTCCGGCCTCCGGGTCCCCCTCCCGGGGCTACCCCCAGTGGGCGCCACCCCTTCCATGCCCCTTCTTGACGGTTCGGGTGGTCCGGCTGTTCGGGCCGCTTTCCCCGAATTTGGAGCGCCCCCGGCTGGCCAAGTCGCGGGGCCTCCAGTCGGCGTACTTCGCCCCTGGGCTCGGGGACTCCTTGCTCGCTCGGCCGCAGCAAGAACGGTCCCCTTGTCGGCGGCGGCGTCGAGGCGTCCCTCTGACCGCTACCTTCGTTTCCTTTCCGTCTTGGGGTGCGGGGCGCGCCACGGGGCCTCCTTCCGGGATCCTACGGAGGACCTTCCTTTCGTCCTTCTCACCTTGGCTCTCCAAGTGCTCCGTGACCCGGCTCCTCCTTCTTTGGGTCTCCTTGACCACTCACTCGGCCCTACCGCTCTACAAACTCAGCGCCAATCGGCGATATTAATAAAAAACCACATGCCAATCGTGGCCCTAACCTTTAGGGATCGCGTTCCCTCCTACGTGGGAGGGCGCGACCCCAGGTTCCTCGCTCGGCCGGTCCTTTGCCCTTGTGACGGCGCCCTTGCCGGGCGTCACGTCACAGCGGATAAGCTTTGGCCATGTTGAGTAACGTGATGCTAGATCCCACTCCGGGAGCGGCGGCGAACACTGCAAAGCGACAATTCTCTCCTCGAGAGGAGCATCTCGCGGGAGACTAGTTTCCTGACGTGGCCAGTCGTCAATCCCAAGGCGAAGCCATAGCGGACCGCGCCACCAGAGATCGTGAACAAGAATCTCATCACCGAAGAGTCCGCGCGAAGCGCAATCCGCGGGGTTGTCGTCGGTTGACACATGCCGCCACTCTCCGTGTGGAAGGCGAGACTGAATTTCCAGAACGCGATTGGCGATAAAAGTCTTCCATCGAGAGGGATGCTGAGTGACCCAAGCACGTACAATGGTGGAATCCGTCCAGCAATAGTACGGGAGAGACTTTACTCCAATAGTTTCGCGAACGAAGTCCATGAGTCGCGCGAGAAGCTGAGCGGCCGATAACTCGAGACGAGGTACGCTTAGAGGTTTCAACGGCGCGACCTTGGCTTTACCGGCGAGCAACGTAATCGTGACAGAGCCTGAAGGAGAAACGACTTTAAGGTAAACGACGGCGGCGTACGCGACATTTGACGCGTCGGCAAATCCGTGGAGCTCCGCGAGATGGATATCCGGGCCGAGGCCACTCCAGCGAGGGATCTGTAACTGGCCAAGGAGCCTGATTCGATGGTAAATTTCTTTCCACTTATCGAGAAGGTTCGCGGAAATAGGATCGTCCCAATCGAGGTTTAATCGCCATAAGGTTTGCATTAGAATCTTTGCTGTTATAGTCACCGGAGTTACCCACCCTAACGGGTCGTAAAGCTTCGCGATGGTTGAGAGAATAGCGCGCTTGCTAGTTGGAACGAGTTCCGTGAGGGACACGCGAAATTCAAAAACATCGGTGGCCGGATTCCACCCGATTCCGAGAATCTTCAGTTGCTCGTCTTGAGCGAGCTGCTTATTACATGCCAAGCCGAAATCCGCGCCGTCATTATCAGAGAGCAAAGAGGACGAATTGCTCGCCCACTTTCGTAATTCGAAACAACCGCGTTTCAAAAGAGAGACTACCTCATCCCGTATTTGTTTTATTAGATGCACGTCGTTCGCGCCGAAAAGAACATCGTCGACGTAAATATTGTCGCGGAGAACGGGGGCCGCAAGCGGAAAGAGATGACCCTCGTCCTGAACTAATTGTTTCAAGACGCGAAGAGCGAGAAAAGGCGCGCATGACATTCCATAAGTCACCGTTAGCAATTGATAATCGGTCGGATGTTCAAGAGTTGACGGTTGCCAAAGAATACGTTGATAATTGATGTCACGATGATCGAGGCGAGTCTGGCGATACATTTTTGCTATATCTGCCGAGTAGACGTACTGATATTGACGCCAGCGTAAGATTACGGCAGTGATTTCGTTTTGTAATTTCGGTCCCGCGAGCAAATGGTCGTTTAAAGACGTACCGTTGGAAGTCACGCTCGAAGCGTTAAACATGACGCGCATGTGGGAGATCGCGCTGCCTTCCCGAATAACGCCGTGATGCGGAATGTAGACGGATTGTTCCCCGTCGCTTTGAGAGCGCACGGCTGGTCTCATATGATTGAGTCGTTCGTATTCCGCGAGAAACAGGTGATATTCCGTTGCGAGCGGCTTATCAGCGCGGAGTCGACGGGTCAACGTGCTCAACATTTTCTCGGCGCGGAATCGAGAGTTACCGATTTCGATCGGAGGGCCTTTCTTGAAAGGGAGACGCACGACATACCGTCCGTCTGAATCGCGATAGTGCGTGGAGCTGAAATGTTTCTCGCACTGTTTGTCGAGCGGCGTGAGAATCTGGCGCAGGGGAAGTTCCTCGGCCTCCCAGAATCGACGAAGTTCTTGCTCGAGAGAAGGAGAGCAGGAGATATGATAAGAGGAGATATTAGCGAGAGAGCAGTAGAAGACCTGTGATGGTACCACCTCATGGTCGCTCTAACTCAGTGTTAGTGGGGGGTGCGAGGGTACACGGTC